TGCTGAGACAGTTAAATTTGGACCAGAGCGCATGTATATTGACTGCTGGGTTAAAAAACAAACCTATGATACCTTCAAGGAGATCTTGGGGTCAGGGATGCAGTATCATTTACAGGTGAGCTGCTGTTTGAAACATGCTGTTGGTCACATTCATGCTCTCTTACTAAGAGTCTGCTTCTCTGTTTAGTCTCTTAGTAATAAGTAAGATTATGAATTGTGTAATTATTAGTGAAATGTGTTTGCATTGGTAGGTAGCATTGAAGTTAGTATGTCTTAAGAATTTTGTTTAAAAATTTTTCACACCTGCTGGAATTGGGCAAAGTAAAAGCCATGTCAGCTTTGTACAAGATGACAACTTTGAGAGAAAGTGAGAAGGGAGAACTGGGCTAAGATGCAAGAACTGTCCTCATGAGCTGGCTCCAGGTTGTAGCCTGTGAGCCCTGAGCTGGAAGGTAGTGGACCTCTCCAAGAAATGATTTTTTTAAAAGTTGACCATCTCCTTAGCTTCTGCTTTTTTCCTGAATTGTCATGCTCTCCAAGCAAGCCTTAGTCATCTGGCTGCTGTGGAGTTGGGTGTGCTCCACCCTTCCTGCTCAGGCTTGTAGGAAGCAACACGAGGTTTGAGTCTAAAGTAATGAGGGTGACTGCAGCCTGGTGGTGACAGCATTCCAGAAGGGTGGGAATAGGTCTCAGCTCTGCTGGGAACTGAGTCAGCTGTTAAAATATGTATTGGAAGCAGGAACTGTAGCCTGGGAGTGTGTGCTCTGATAATACTGTAATTGGTGAATTAGAAGCTCCAGTCTCCTGTGAATTGGGTTCCTGCATGTCTAAGGGAAGCCAGGGTCCCTAGGCAACTAACACCTTTAAGTACTACTTTTAAAACCAGATGTCTGAAAACTTGTGTGCTGTAAGACTATATGGCTCTGAGTGCAGCTGCCTCATCTGGTGTAAAGGCTGTCCCAGAACACTATCTTGCTGGGGCAGAATAAATGGGGCAGCTGCCTCTGCTTCTTTGAGGGCAGTTCTTAGCCTTAGTCTGATTCAAAGAAGTTGAAGTTCAAAGAAAGAAGTTGAAGATACTGTGTTAGTATCAAATGGTAGTGGGAGTCATGCCCATGCACTGCTATTGCTGCTTATTGAACACTTCTTGATACTTGATAGTAGTCATCTCTGAAGGTTAACCAAAATGAATCAAACTGATTGTTATGTTTCTTGTTGTTCAGTCAAATGAGTTCCTTCGGAATGTTTTTGAACTTGGTCCCCCAGTGATGCTAGATGCTGCAACCCTTAAAACAATGAAGATATCCCGTTTTGAAAGGGTAGGTTGTTACACTGACCAAGTTTTGTTCACTTAATGTACTAATGTGCTTCTCCTGACTTGTGCTGTGTCCTATTAGCTGTTATTTTTGGCTCTTTCACTGAGCACCTTTCTGCTACAGCTTTTCTTAATAGGGGGTCTCAAGGTTGACTTGACTGCGACAGGTACCTAATTGGTGCTCTGTGTGAGTGAAGCTTGGTCTTGTCAGAGCAGTCGATTTCTGGGTGGAGTGATGAAGTCTTTACAAAGACAGTCTGGAATTCCCCAGAATGCCTTTGTTCTCGTGGTTGTGAATATAACGATCTCATATGCATATTCTTGTGTCCTGAGCCATTTGACTCCTCTGAATCTTACTGCTTAAAACCAAACAAAAATGTGCAAATTTCATTTAAATGGATATAGAATAATGTTTATTTTCCCTTGGTGTCAAACTTGCGTTACTAAGTTTATATTATAAACTCTGCAAGGTCTATCCAGTTTTGCAATTATATGTTCAGCTGTTTCTTACATGATAAATTCTGCGGGACAGAAGCCTCTTGAACATCAGTGACAGCAAATAACTTCTTTTGTTTTGCAGCACTTGTACAACTCGGCAGCATTCAAGGCTCGGACAAAGGCCAGAAGTAAATGCCGGGATAAAAGAGCGGATGTGGGTGAATTTTTCTAGAGCTCCTTCTTCGTGGCATTCAATTTTAAGGCTTGCATAATCTAAGTATATTTGTAATCTTTAAGTGGGTTTTTAACTTTTTGTAGTCACAGCTTGCACTTGTACACTGGGATGATGTATAATATCTGTAAATATAATGCATGTTGTTACTTAGTTACATATATATTGTATATAGATTGATGGTAAGTTGGGTGCAGGGGTCAGTTATAACACTTAAATGCATCTTGGCTCAAAACTTGAATATACTGTAACTCAACTGTTAAATGGTGTGGGTAAATGTATTGAATAGCCATGTCAGAATCAATTCCTTAATTTGTACTAAGGAAAATTAATTTAATTTGACCAAGTGTTTTTGGTAGGAATGTGTTAATATGGAATGAAGCTTGTTGATGTGAAATTATTTTCAGTAAATTTTTAACTCTTAAATGTCAAATAGATGAAAAAAAAAGTATGACTTTATACTGAACAGGACTATGAAGTTGAATTACTTTTGCTTATAGTGAAGTAGTAAATGACAATACTTGCTTCAATGTAAGATAAAAACCCAAAATTCATGTGTTCTGGAACTGGTTGTTAAATTTTTGGAATAAAGCTCTTTCTCACTCTTTTGTCTAAAAGTAATTACTACCATGAATGAAAGGCTGAAATGTTGGAAAAATCTAATGCTTAATTGATGCATTTGATGTATCATGCAGAAGACTTGCTGCTTGCCCAGCCAGACATATGGCTAAATTCCTTTCAGTTCTTCAGCAGATGCTATATGAAATTACAAAAATAAGAAGGTGTAAGGGGGGGTATGTATGTGCCTGTATATATATTTTATAGGACTGTCTGCTCTTCTGCCTACCCTTGGTTGGTGACAGCCATTTGTCTTATAAATCATCACAAGTTTGTGGATCACGAGTCAGATGTTTCCCTTAGTTCTGGCATGCAAAACACTTTGTCCCTTTGTCCTACAGGAGACACTCTAGACATCCTGTTTCATCATCTTGAAAAATCCTCGCTCAGTTTAGTCTCCAGATGACTGGAATGTGCCAATAACTGGTCATCTTCAAGAGCATGATCCACTGTAAGGGCAATAAATCTTAAGTATCTGGAGCTTCTGAACCAAAAGATAAATAAAATTGCCTGCTGGAATGTGTTCCTCAAAACTGAAAGTCTTATCTGCAAAAGAAATTAATTCAAAAAATTTAAAAATTGCCTCTGAATCGAGAAAAATATTAGGGTTTATGGGAAGGGGACTGTTTTGGTTTTTTTGTTTTCCTTTGTAGTAGAGACAAAAATGGGATAACAAAAGAGTGTATTCCAGTAAAAATGAGTAGCAAAAAGCCATTGGTGTGAAGATTTCATCAGTGTAGTTCAACTTGGACTTGGGTATTTGGTGGTGGGAAGGAAGCATCCATGTTTGGTTGTGTCCTTAAATTACTCCTCTAAAATTGTAAATGTGTCCGAGGGTTTAAGGGGATGGGAGGTAAGGGAATAATGCGGCCTCTACCTTGAGAAAGAAATGAAAGGTGAACCCAGAAGGGCTTGTGTGTCAATTAATGTCTCCCTCTAAGTTGTGTTCTGGAAGCAGCCCAGGGCAGAGCTCAGCAAAAGATGGGAATGGTGCTGGGAATCCTTCAGGGGATATGGCTGAGTGTGGGCAGCTGTCTGTTTTCTTGCTTTGAGGGTGTCTGTAGAACCAAGGCGGCTCAAGGTGTGACCTACTGGGCTGCTTTGGAGCCTGTCACTTGGGTGGGAAACTGAAACGTTGGTATATGGATTCTCTGTGACATTTTCCCCTCAACACTGTAGTGGTTTTGGGTTACTCTGTGTAAGATTTGGTATCCTATATTCAATCTAAGGGGGCTTCAGGGTGGGTTTCTTGTTTGGTTCATGTCCCCTTTGTGTTAACCTAGCTGCTTCCTGGAATACTGCCAAACATGTTCCATGCAGGGAACAATCATCACTGCTAACAAGGGCTGCACTAGGCATTATTCTTTTAAGCAAGTAAGGATGTCCTACAACTTAGTTCCTCCTGTCCTTCGCTCCATTTGATTTTGTGGCTGGGGTGGCGGGGTGGCGAGAAAGAGGAACATATCCTGTTTCTTCAGTATATACTTTGAATGTGGCTGTAACTGCAGTTTTAGAGATGAGACTCTTTTGCATAGCAAGCTGGTTTT